TCCTCCCCCAGTTTGGGGAAGTTTTCAGCAATTATTTTTTCAAATACACTTTCTATCCCTTTTTCTTTCTCTTCTTCTTCTGGTAGCCCTATAATGTGGTTATTGTTCCGTTCAGATTGGTCACACAGTTCTCTTAATATTCTTTCATTCCTGGAGATCCTTTTATTTCTCTCTGTATCAGCTTCTCTGCACTCTTGTTCTCTGATTTTTATTCAATTAAAGGCCTCTTGCATCTCGTCCATTCTGCTTTTAAGTCCTTCCAGAGACTGTTTTATTTCTGTATTCTCCTTCTCAACTTTATCTGTCAGCTCTTGCATTTTTCTCTGCAGCTCCATCTGCATGTTTATGACCTTAATTTTGAATTCTTTTTCAGGAAGATTGGTTATATCTATCTCCCCAGGTTCCCTCTCAGGGGAGGATTTCTCTGTGCTTTTGGTCTGGATCAAATTCTTCTGCCTTTTCATGGTGATAGAGGTCGTCATGTGCAGTTGGTGTGTGTGTCAGCTGGGAGAACAAAGTCCATTCCTGCTTGACGGTCACCTTCTTCTTCTAGAACGGTGACCCCTAGCAGCTTGTGGGGGACAGCTGAGTGCTTCTAAGTCTGGCCCGGGTGGCTGTGGGGGCAGCTCAGCATGGCTGCTGGGGGTGTGGACAGCCTCAGGCTGCAGCTCCACTATGGCAGGGCCGTGCCAGTGGGGGAATGTATGGGAGGCTGTTTATCACCATGAGGAGCCTCAGAGCTGCAGTGCTGCCCAGGGAGTTAGGGTTCCTGGAGTTACCTGGGCTTCCCAGCTGCAGGCTTAGTGTGCCAGGACACTTCCATCCAGTTGTGAGGCTCCTTTTGCTTTAAGACTTTCAAAAAGCACTTGCTTTTGTTTTGTCCAAGGGGCACCGGCTGCAGGGATCCACTCACAGATTTTACTGTTCTGTTTCCCTAGTATCCAGCACACCATGCACTGTGTCTGCACTGCTGGTGTGGATGACTAGGTCTGGGTATTCAGCAGTCCTGGGCTCCCACTTCCTCCCTGCTCCAACACCTCTTCTCCCACAAGAGAGCTGGGGTAGAGGGATGCACTCAGATCCCACTGTGCCGTGGCTTGTATCTTACCCCCTTTGTGAGGCACTGGGTTCTCGCAGGTGTATATGTAGCCTGGCTGTTGTACTGTATCGTCTGGTCTCTGTTTTAGGAATAGTCGTATTTCTTGTTCTCAAAAATATATATGGTTTTGAAAGGAGATTTCTGCTGCCCTACTCATGCTGCCATCTTGCCTGGGACTCGAACAGTTCATTTTTAATTCAATTACTGAAATACCAAGTTTACTACCATAGTATATTGTCACCACTGCTATAGTAAATAGTCATTACTTCATAATAAGTTGTCACTTTTGTAGGCAGTACTTTTTACCAGTCATTCACAATGGCTGCTAAATTTTAATAAAAGTTGATTTTGTACAACAGGGAAGTTTCTGACTAATAACCAAGGTGGAAAATGGAAGAATTGTTATTCAAATGTAAAATGTACCTAAGAGAGCTTGTGATAGGTTTAGGGAATTTCATCCCAATCGCACAAAGCCAACCATAAGAATAAACAAAAGCAGTTTTCAGTTGTTTTTTCTACTGGGAGATTTATGGAGAAAATATAATCTATTAGTAATTATGAAAATACACTTAACATGTGAAGCATCTCCACTGGCCAATTATAATGCTATGATAGGAGGTCAGATCAAGTCAGTATTTAAGCAGGGTATATTTTACATTTATGGTTGCCTCTGAAAGTTTTTGTGTGTAAAATGGATTAGTGGCAACATTTCTTTTCTTTGCTTTTTAATCTTTTCTGGTGAACAGTACACTGGAAGTATTTGTCTGAACACGTTGTATTTTCACAATAAAATCTTGTGACTATATAGGCACTCATTAACCCTTACTCTTCAATCTCTGCATCTTTCACTGATAATGTGGATTTGGCTAAAGGCTGATTGACAGATCAGCAATTGCTATATTGACTAGAGTTACTGCTGAGAGATCAAATACCATCACCTAGCACAGTATCTTTTCTAAACTAAATATCTCTGGGTGATAACCATGAAAACTGGACTATCTACAAACAAACTCACCTCTGCTTTCACTCTGTAAACCAATTTTCTCTGTTTTTATATCTTTTCACTTCCACATTCTTATCTTCCCAAATCTGTCTTCCTACTTGATCCTTCTTATTTTAAGTTTTTATTTTGAAGTCTTTTAATTAGTGGAATTTACCAAACAGCCAATTTAGATTAAGAAATGAAGGTTAAGCTGCACTATTAAGATTATACAGATATTAATGGTGAAGTAATTAGGAAATTATACAAAGCTGTATTAATCAAACGTATACGGGAGATTTACACCTTGAAAGGATGTGGAGGTGTTTCATGCCAAGTTAATTTTTCCCAGACTTTAGATAAAATATGGAAGATAAATATTCCCCACATCTTTTATTTGTATCCATGAACATATATGACTGGTAATTTTTCATGTTGAATTCTGAAGATGCTTTTCAGCCGATTTTTCCACCTCCACTATTGCTCCAACTAATCAAAATGTAAATCATCTAGCTGGCTTGCTATGGCAGCTCTATATTTTATGGGGAAAGTTAAACTGGATTGTTTTACTTATTTCTCTCCTTAATACCCACTTGAAAATTTTTCTGTGTAAAGTGACCTTCTGCCCTAAAACACTGCAAAAACTGTTTTTCAATTCATTTCTAAGCCCCTACTCATCCCTCACTAATGACCTATTCAAGAAGGAACAAAACCAGCTAAACTTTGTAGTATTGTTGGTAACATGATAGTTCCTGTAGTTCTGACTATATCTGATTTAGTGATTTCCTGTATTTTTAAAATGATGTAAAAATGAGTAATTGGTCCCTTGCCATACCATCTCTGAGAGTTCATTGTTTTTAATAAATGAAAAGCTACTGATTACGTGGTAGGTACAAAAGCCCAAAGTTTACCATTTGACCATTTACAAATTTTGACTCCATGATCATGCTTACAGTTTTCTGATGATTACTTTAAATGGTAGGGGTCATAGTTAGCCCCAGCCACTTGTGTGATGTCTATATTTAGCCACTAATTCCAAGTTACTTGCATGAGTCAGAGAGGAAATTAAAGACTGAGGAAGTGCTACTTTCCCAAGATATCAAAAGGTGAAAGTTCAAAAAGTATCTTAAAAAGAAAGGTAACTGAAACAACACACTAAGCACAGGCACATCTGCAGAAATTCTTTTTTAAAGTTTTATGAAGGAGTGAAAATTGGTACATTCTAAAATGTAATACTGATTTATATAAATAAATGCTACCTCGGTAATATTTTTGCTATACTTAGGTCTTTTTCCTTTTTTGTTCCTAAGTGCATGTGTTGGTTCTTCAGCAGATCCTAAAATCCTCAAAGAGGGAAATCAGTTTTTTTTGGTGTTTTTCTCTCTTCTAAAATAGTCGCAATATAGCAAAAAGGAACATAGGATTTGAGTGAGAAGTCCATTTCTAGTCTTTCTAGGTGTTTGTCCTAGGGTTGGCTATCTAAACTGAAGAACCTTATAGTTTCTTCATCTGAAAAATTAGATAATAAATCTATCTTGTAGCCTTATTGTAAGGATCAGATATTCAAAAAGAGTAGTAGCTTTACTATTTTTGTTGTCTGCAACTTCCCACAGGGCTTTTATGTCTCCATGCTGTCGATATGCAAAAAGTCTCAAAATCATGGCCTTACTTCCTCCCATATAGAACTGTGGTAATAGAGTTAAGGAGCTGTACGGTCACATTTGACTCATTTTCAGAAACTGATGAGTTGTAAATACTTATTATCATGTGACAATAAAAAAGAAAACAAACACAAAATGAAACAAACAAATACAACATTTTCCACTTCTCATGTTGCAAGTTAGGTTCTTTTTTAACAAGAAACAGAATGACTGTACTTGCATTTTGTATTTAGTACCTCTTTAATTTAAATTTCAAACAAGACACCTTTCAACATGCTGTTATTATTCATTCTATTCAATAAAATGCAATAAAATAAGAAGTTGTCAGACCTGAAATTAATTAAAAGATTTCATTTTATTTGTTGTTTTCTGAAAAATACTAGTTTTGTGAGGTTACTCTTCTACTTTGGAAATAATTACAGTTGCAAGCTCTTGATTTATAGATTTGTGATTAATTGGCATTACTTCCTGTAATTTCCATATTGAAATTACAACTAGACATATCAAAAGAGAATCAGTTTCTAGTAGTACAGAACTTTCATGTGTGCATCATTTTCTACAAGGTGTCTCTAATGAAATTTCTACATATGATTTGGCGAGTTTCAAATAGTTGGATTTTATTTCCTACACAGTCAACTCTTAATTATAAAATCCTCAACCCACTCTTTTGGCAAACATGGGTCTACTGACTTACCTGTAAAAAGGGCAGAACTACAGACAAATAGGTTCTAAGAAGAGTTCAAAGTAAAGATGACGGCTTCAGAAACATTTCCTTATTCCCTTAGATAAAATTCTTTTGTAAAATCATTACTTTATTCCAGGTTTTAACTGTTGATATTATTATCCTTACTTCAAGATTCTTTGTACCTGGCCTTTGAGTACCTAACAGGAAACTGACATCAAGGAGTTAGAGGCCATTCTTCTATTTCCGACAAAAAGCAAATTTGGAGGATCTTGTCCCTTCCATTTATGATAAACCTTTAATAAGTTTTCTTTGAACAAATATTATACAGCAGGGGAAATGCTCGTATTTAAAAATTGCTGCCACAAAAGTACCTGTTCTGAGTTTAGCCAACACTAATAAAAGGGTTATATCCCATAAGATAAGGAAAAAAGTCACAAAATTACATAAAGAAGCCTAAAATTAGCTGTAGATGCCAATATTTAAATATGGCTTTAATACCATCCTAATTCTGAGGGTGTTGAGAATATATCCTCTCTTTAAAATGATACTTTCAATTAGTTAGCTTATTCCTGCTACCTCTCATACCATCCGTGCCTCCCACAGCATGAAGCACCCTCACAGTCGATTTTCTAGGCTTGGTCCTAGGGCTTTGCAGCATGTGTCTTCTCTCAGGTAAGAGATGATACTTCATATCTTCTATCAGGAGATTTTGGCACTTTAGATCAGCAGTAAACATGGGGCTCTCTTCAAGATCCACCAGTAACTGAAAGTAATAATTCATGGTGTATGAAATGAGGAGCCCACCATTAGAAAGAACAGATTCATTTAGAGAACTGTGGAGAAAACTCGAGCTAATTCAAATGTAGAAATGCTGTCATTTAATATTTTGAGTTGCTTACTGACATACTTTGTGTTCACTGAAGATTTGAAGTGACTAAAGGCCTCAATGTAGTAGCTAAAGATCTCTGCAGATTTGACATATTATCCATCTTTGGAATACATACACATTCACTCTCAAGGGGTGAAGGTGAAAAAACACTCATGAAATGTGTTTCTTAAAGCAGTCAAAGCAAAGGACAGTGTGTATGTACACAAAGCAAGCATCTACCTCCCAGTCTACTGCATGTAGCTGGACAAGCAGCCACCTTTATGCTGGATTTAGAGGAGGGAATACAAACATGCCCAGTGAAAATAAACCAGCATTGCCTGCAGGGTGTCACATCTTTATCATCAAATCACTTCTGTAAGGTATTCTGAAAGCAGGTGCTTTTTATCTGTATGCATGTTCATGTGTACATCACTGAAGTGCATGTGTTAGCAAGAAGGCAACACATCAGCAAGAGAAGATGGCCAGTCCTCTCTGGCCAAACCATTACTGCCTGACAGACAATAAGACCCTAACTGAATGGGATAAACATTAGGTATAGTATTTTTCCTGAGATGAGCTAAGAAATTAAGTTTGTTTCAGAATTTATCAAGCATCATTTAGATTCAGTCCTTGGAGTTTGGGGTCCATAGTATCACAGGACCTTGAGAAGAGTATCAGATTGTTCTAATGAAGGTGTTTATTTCACTCCCTAAAACTTCCCGGAAAGTTCCTGTTCTGAACTGGTTAATCTCACCTCTGATTTCACCTTACCTATAATGTGGGATGGATAACTATTTTTACTTGGCTGGTGAGACCCAAGGCATTTCCTAATGAACACACTGCTGAAATAGGTTTGAAAATTGGGCTGAGAAATTGTTTTTCCTCCAAAAATATTCTTTAGAGGTTTAGTACCATTTTCTTCACATATATTATTTCTAGAATATTTGCTTGAGCTCACTTTCAAAATTGTTTTGGGAAGTCTGTATTCTGTATGCCATTACCCTCCACTGCCATCATCAACAAAAGTCCACAGGAGTCCACATTGCAGGCTCTAAGGCCTGCTCAGCAGTGGGAGGCCAAGGTACCCCAGGTTGTATGGGCTGGAAATGTACCCATCTTCTAATTAAGTAAGAGAAATCCAAACTAAGTACTTTGCTGAAAGAATGTCATATTGACTTAGAGCAGTGCAGAGTCCAATGGCTCAGATCCTTTACACCAGTGCATCTCAAGTGCTTACATACCTAAGAATCATCTGGAGAACTTGTTAAAACATAAATTCCTTCTCGCTGTCCCCAGAAATTGTTTCAGTATGCATGTAGGGGGAGATCAGAAACTGAGTTTCTGACAAGCTTCCAGAAAATGGCATGCAGCTGGTCCAGGGACATTTTGAGTAGCACTGCCTTAGAAAATCTATTACATTGTATAGACCCTCTTATGAGATTAATGCACATAAAATCAATATACACTCCCATAGATGTTGAATCTTGGTTCTAAGATTACATGTCTATTTTAATGTTTCTCTTTTTGGTGTGACTATTGCCTTGCCCTTTGAATAATTTGCCTAACCAAGGAGAGCGGTCAATGTTTTTCATTAAATATGGATATATTCTCAAACTTACTAGAGTTCCATGGAATTTAAATTACAGCAAGAAGTAAAAAAAAAAACGTAGAGAAATCATCAGCAAATTAGCATTCTGTTTTTCAATATTAACATTTAATTAGTAAATTTCTTCAAAATCAATGAATTTTTTAGTGTCTATGACCCCACTGATCCACTAGGTCCCTCCTCCCAATGTGGATGATGTTTCAGAACTTTAACTAGAAGCTCTATATGAACTGTGAAATATAGTCATATATATGGTACATAAAGGATATCTACTATTGATCAATTAGCTGCAGAGAAAAAAGTGTGGTTTTCACTAATGGTAGAATTATGTAGTGGACTGTATTCTGCCCTCCCTAAAAATCACATACTAAAATTCAATATTAGATGGGTCAATCCTGAATCTTATGCAAGGGTGTCTGTTTTTAGAATCGTTTTTAGGATAATCCTTCAGCAGGCATGATGAAGATGCTATTATAATGATGGCCTAGTGCATCCGACTATTATAGTATGCTTTCAATCATAGCAGCTAATTACCCATTTCAGTAGTGATTATCCAGAATCTAACTCCTCCCTAGAGTCTCCTCTGACATGCTGCTGTACCAATTATCATCGCCTTGCCTAGAAGGTGGCAGAAAAAGACAGAGTTAATGTAGTCATTTTCCCTGGTTGTTACAAGCGCCCTTTGGTGAGAGAGGTAACAGAAACTAATGTGTAAGCTGACGTTCAGGGATTACTGGCAAGGTTTCAAAAAAATTCCTTGTTTTCTCTGCCATCATCATAAATATTGCTAATTGAAGGCTGCATATGTCCTTCAAAAATCCTGTACACTCCAATTATCAAAAATCCTCTGAATAAAATAAAACTAGGCAGCTAGGGAATGGATTAATGGGTAGTGGTTGTTGAGAAGGAGAGTTTGCTCTGCCTGGGTAGATGTCCCTACCTGTGGTGGAAGTAAGGGCAGTCTGATGTAAGAGAGCAGCACTGGCAGGTCTTGCTTCCTCGCCTGCACATCGTAACCCACCCACTGCATGACAGCATTGAAAATGGTTTCTTCATCAGGCACATTAACGTCATCACTGCCTAGAAGTTTGGAAATCCCATTAGCTGGAAGCAGGGGGAATTCTTCATTCTTTATTACCTCGATGAAGTGTTCCTAGAAAAGAAAGGTCTTCTACTGAAACCTCGTACTTTAGAACCTTCTTAACAGAATGAAAATATCAAAACATTTCACTTTGTTAAATTTCAGAAAAGGCTGGAGAGACAGACATATGCATTTATACTGCCTGGGACAGGACGCATGGGCGGGGGGGGTGCTTGTGAGGCTGAAGAGCCAAATGCTTCCACTAGTGATATTTACACTATACAAGGAAAGACCTTAACTGTTTCACAGGCCACGCAGGGAGTAGCCGAGTTGATTTTCTTTCCCAGCTGTTGTGGGTGACAACAGCTTATGACTCCAGAACTGATGTTGAGTTGTTCTGTAGTCAAAATCTGTAAGAGAAAGGCTGAAAAATTTCAAGGTGGGTACTATGTTGAAGGGCTGGGAGGGGTAGCTCTGGCTGTGCATTTGAGGGGAGAACATGCTGAATTCCTCTGAGATGAGAGGAAGAAATTGATGAAAAACTCTTTTCTCTTATGGCTAAATATGATCTCCTGTTAACCAAGGCAAAAATTTCTTTTATAATGGACAAGAATCTCCAGATTCAGGATAATCTAAAAGGGACTCCTGTGGAATTATTTTTGGGGGACAGTGGGACTCTCTCCATTTTTATATATTATATCTCCATTCTTCCTTCTGTCATGGTATTATCTTGCATTTTGTAAAGTCAAAATTTCAGGCAACTGTGTTTCACTTTTTACCTCTCAAAACACAACCCTATTTTTTCTGATTTATAAGGCCATACATTTTCTGGGACAACATGATTATCATTTCCAGTGTTTTCCTCAGTAAGGGTCTCCTTTTCAATGCAATGAACTATACTTCTGAAGTGGAGATAAACATGTCTAGTTGGCAATTTATGTTGCCCACTAAATAGATATTCTGGAAGAAGCTAAAGACAGCGTCTGAATGACTGGAGTATCTGTATAAATCAAAACACTCCCTCAGCTCCACTCTGAGTTTAGTCACTGTGCAACTGAGTTAGCCTAATAGAAAAGTACATCAAGTTTGATATATGCATCAGGAAGCTCTGATACCATAAAACCTGAGTTAACTTGCTTGTTTAAACCAAGAGCCCTTTTGTGACTGAAGCGAATGACTGAGAAAGACCTGATGATCTTACTGTAGCAGATGTCCCCAGAGGAAAACCCTCTCACCTATAGCAAAAGAGTAGAACTAGAAATGTTCCTACAACTAGTAGTACATCACATTTGTACAGTATTTCACACTTTACTGGTTTCTGTCATGAACACTGTCGTCAGCAATGGGATCTTGAGGAAGGTGGAATTTTTCTGAGGAGAAAACAGGCTACGTGAACTGTTTGATCTCTCATGCAACAAATGGCAAGTATGGATTCAGACCTAAGGCTTCAGGTCTAATTCATTTTGTCTGATACTGAAACTGCTTTTCATAAGTGACATAATTTTTGTGAAAGGGTTAAGAAAAAGATAAAGCACTCCAAAATTTGTGCTTGTCCATTACTGGTACTATATGTACACTCTGAATAGTATAGTGCTAATAATACTACAGAAGCCTCCATACTTCCTTTTCCTTCCTGTCCACTCTCTAATGAAAGAAAAGGAAAAGAGAAAATACATGCGATGGCAGGAGGTAGGGAGAGAAGGAGAAAGGAAGGGAGGTGGCCAGTATGGACCGTAGTACAGTCTGTCAGATGTTGCCATGCATTAGAGAAAGCTAAGAAATGATTAAAATGCTTTACATGAGGGTCATATTAAGATATAACCAGAAATTACATTTTTTGATAGAAACGCTCTCCTCCATGCACCTTCCTAAGAGTCTTCATTTGTTCCTTGGTTTCATATTCATTTTTTTGTCCACACTTAGACACTGTTGTAAAACTTATTAAATGAATATAGCACACTTGCTCAAGGTTTCACTGATGCCGGGTACTGGTTTTATGATTATGATGCTTAATTTTCTGTCGCACCTTAAGCTGTGGAGTGGCCAGACACCTGTCGAAGTATTATTTTGAGTGTGTCTCTGAGGGTGTTTCTAGATGAAGATCTCTCACATTAGGGAGGGCAATATGTTTACTCACCTTACAAATCAAGGGACTGTAAATAATTCTTGGAGTTTAACATTATTCTAAGACATTAAACTTATTTGCATATTATACCATCAAGAGCATATTACAAAAGCATTATTACAGGAAAAACTTTAACTATTTTACTAAAATAACTGAAGAAGGAGTATTTAAGGAGACCACAGTA